GTAAATGACACACAATGCGACACTCTAACCCTCACCTAAACCACAGTAAGTCTTTATCAACACGTTGGCCTCTTTCGCTCTCATGCTCTTCTCCATCCACGCGAACAGGACGAGACAGAGATTGTGAGCATTAGTCACCGATGTACAATTAAGGGTAACACCGACCCTTCTGCGCGAAAACAATCTCAGTAGGGTTGCGAGATATGGTGTATTTGTGACGGCTTTTACTGAATATCCTACTAATATTACGAACCGTTTAGGAAAATCGTCAAAAACATATATAGTTCCTCTTTTACACAAACATAATATAAAAAGAAAAACTTGCTTACTCTCTCAATTACTACTATACTACTACTACTAGTTAACTACTGCTTAAACCGTCAAATAATAATAATAATTTATTTTTCCAAAAACTAAAAAAATAATGGATAGAAAAGTAGTATTCAATGAGTTTTATTTGTTAGAATCATAACTATACAATTAACCAATAAGAAATGACAAAGTTCTTTAAAAATAATTTAAATAAAGAATCGTATAAAAAGAGAAGTGACATTATATTATTATTTATACACATTTATTAAGAATGTATTAGGATATATCAATTCTACAATTAAATAAAATACTTTTAACAGTTTAAAACGCGAAATATTACTTTTGATTTATTGATGTGTATGAATGTTGTGAGTTGTTAACTCATTTTAAATTTAGTTTAACTATACAGCCTGACGTTTTGTATGCTTTGTGAGTTCCCGGAGGGATTGTAAATGTAGGGTGTCCTTAACGTCAAAGTCTGCTACGCTAGCTAGTTTTGTTGGTAATTGGTGAAACTGGCTGCGTCTTCACAGTATTATTAATATAGGGTCACAAGTGCTGGATCTCCCTATAGAAATTTGTATGTTTCTTAATTTCAATAGCTTTTACCTAGCTACATTAAACACTTAAACGAATTGTGAAATTAATTAATTATCGCGTAATATTTGCGAGAAACTTCGCAATCAGCACCGACTTTTGATAGATAAGACTACAACGTTAGAATCATAAAAGTGTTGAATTCTACGAAACTCGACAAAAAGTAACAAAACTTTCTGACGCCGCCACTAATGCATTGCGTGTAAACGATTCCATTAGAGGAGTGATGTGGAACGTAACGTGACACACAGCAATTATTGTGAACGGCTCTTTTTATATGCTGTGCCGTGTCATACGCCCAATTCTATTGATGAATAGGCGATGTTTCATAACTGTCATGTTCTTGAATACTCCATATGTTAATTACTCTTTAGCACTCCCATTTTTGTGATACGGGAAGACAGCATAGGGTAAACTTGATGAAGTGAAACACACCACAACAAACACAACACAACAAACCACAGCTGTATACGATTTAAACAAAATGCGTTGTCAAACTATTTTGGCTTTAAATAATTAGAAAATCCAGAAACTATAATTTGATCAAGCTTCATGGCTTATCATTAGTGGATTTATTCTTTTTTGTATAATTGCATAGAAACATATTTTTTTCACAATGGAAATCAAACCCATGATCCATAGATTGTTAGACTAACATTAGTACCGTTAGACCAACGAGAACGTCTGACGCTTACGTTTCCTTGGTTCGATCGAGCATAGTCTTTAAGACCGTTGTTTTTCAAAAGTTCTTTCTTTTTTGTTCGAGATTAATTTGTTATTGTGTATTTTGGATATTCTTTGCTTAAGACAATTTATGATAACGACGGGATATTCGAACGTATATACCGCAAATCCTATAATGTGCCTTTTTAAGGCTAACCTAACCTATCCATGAAAAGTCTTTCCTAGAAATACAATATTAGACAATTTAACGGTTAAATGATTTTGGATCCGTACAATTTTCATGTCATTTAAATTATTTCGTTTAAATATATTATTCTTTATTCAATATACGAATAAATAATTTTATTAATTCTCTTGTTTAAATCTTGTATGTATATATACACATTTAAATAAAACACTTTAACGGTTTCAAACCCAATATATAATAGTAAGTTCAATTAAATAGAGGCATCCAAAACGTCGGGCCAAATTTAAAAATAATTTTCAAATGATTTTAACTAATGTATATTGCGTTATAAACTGTTAAAGTGTTTTATTTACATGTAATAAAACCTTAAATTAAATACATCTCACCGTTTCCATGACGCGAGGAGAGTGACATAATGAAATTTCGTTCAACGTAATATCAAGTAGGTAATATTCGCGTCTACAATGCCGACGCGTCTGTAAAAAGTGACATCTACGAACGCTTAGTACGGCTATGACTTTCTTCTGCGACCGCTTCAGCGGGCGCAGGTATTCCTGTTCGCGCAATTGCGCCTGCAGGAGGTGGCGGGTATCGTGGCTCGTTGCTACGAGCCCGTCGGTAGGTGTGCTGCAATGGCAGCGTCTGGCCGGTGGTGACGTCGGTGGCTTCATCTCGCGCACCGACGTCCTGGGTGCTGCACGCTTCGGGTGAGGGGGATGTTGATGCACACTCATTCAACACCCCGACATCCTGTCACGGCAGCAGGCGCTCGGGGACACGGGCGGCTTCATCTCGCGCACACCGTGTCCTGTGCTTCTTCTTCTTCAATGGCTGCGTCGGGAGAGCGGCACGGCACGGCGGCAGCAGGCAACCGGGGCACGGGCGGGTGCGCCTAGTGGGGCAACCGGGACGGGCCCTGGACAGGGCGGTCAACCGGCGCACACGCCACCGGGGGCAGCCGCAACCCCGCGCGGGCTAACAGCCGCGCGGCACGCATGCGGCTTCCTTCAGCGGCCGGGGAGGGTGACGGCCGAAATCCAACTCCCGGCATATGGAGCACGGAAGCGGTGGCCGCCACCTGTGGGTCTTCGTTGGGTGTTGTTGTCACTTGAAGGGGTTGCAGCAGGGCGCGAGCGGCAAAGTCCCCGACAACGACAATAGGGGACGAGCACGCTCGCGTTACACTAACCGCAGACTCGCCTTCGCTGCGACGCGTCGTGAAGGGATCCTCTCCTCCGCGTCCTCCTTCGGGAATGGGCGTCACAACTGGGTACAGGGCGACGTATCTCGATGAAACAATGAAGCTTGAGGCTGAAGCTCGAAGCTGGCAGACGATCTTCGTGTCCGTGTGGGGGCGCGGGCGGCGCGCGACGCGGCGCGCGGCACGGTCCCGCCGGGTGAGACCCCCGGTAGCCCCGGGGGAGGCCCAGCGAAACGTAGCCAGCGGATGGTCGCCGCGAAGACGCGCCCGTAGGGTTAGCCGCGCCCCGGCGTCGTGTCCGGTGATGGAAAAGGTTATATCGCGGCCGCAGCCTCAGACCGCGGCCCGCCGAATACCCGCGCATGGTGTGCGCTCGTGTCCTGGCGTCGATAAGTGGTGAAGAAACGGTGCTTCGGATTGCGCGGCACGCGCTCAGCCGAAGTACGGTGGGCCTACAGGCACTGCCCTAAGCCGTCGAACTCGTTCCGGACCCCTAGCCGGCCCGCAAGCGACCCAGCTCGAGGCGATCGGTTCGAGGACGACGGCGGTAGCTACTGGATGTAGCTTTCCATACTTCGGCCAAGCGGATCTTTTATCCAAAAAAGACGGCTTAGCACGACGGTGGGCACGTGTGCTCGCGGCTGCAGGTAGCCGTCCAACGCTTAGTACGAAATCCCGCGTAATCCGTAAGTATGAGTGACGTACAACGTAGCAGGTTGGGTAAATGAGTTACGATTTTGTCCATGTTCACACTTTCGTTATTCGTTGCATAGATATTGGCTTTACGGCATAAGTTATCGCCGGGTATTTTCTTTAAGACTTAATAATCACGGGCAGTAAGCGCAAAGGGGTTTGAAACACAGGTTCAATAAATAGATTCGATAAAAAATATCATCAAAAAGATATTTTCTTTATGTTTGAGGAGCACTTGATGGAAGGTGAAATACTCCGGCCATACAAGATCTCAACAAGATACGCCGTCAACTTATTTTGGCTTTCGATATTCAGAAAAGTACCGACTTAATCCAAAACGCGGTTAAACTTCACGGACTTTTCATCTGTCGAATGTAGTTCGTGATATTGACGGACGGAATTTTCAATATTCCCACCCATTCAATATCCCAAACCCACGTGATTGTTAATTTCATTCGTCAACAAAATTTAAACTGTGTAATGCCACATGGACTCGATATTTTTTGCTAAAACTTTCAATAATTATTAACCATACATAATAGAAAAATTAGAAGTATGAAGAAATAAATTGATTTAAAGCAGGACTTGAACCGGTATCCGTAGCATTCCGTGCTATTGCTTTTACCAACTGAGCAACAGTGCCCTACACGTCATCGTCAAAATTATTCAAGCCATACATCAACCTCTCGTTCAATAATGTTTTCAATTTTAAAGCGATTATCAATTTATAAGATGCCATCATTTGCAATTGTTAAAATTAATATCTTTTTACAATTTAACGCTACATCACATCTTGGGATTCGGGGCAAATTTAATTTTCCCTAAGTAGGTACCTTTATGAATATCATATTTATTTATATTTGCTAAGTAAAACAACGCACCCGTTCAGTTTGTTTTCTTTCCTGTCTTGAAATAATATCGCAGGAACCTTTAACTTAAAATAAATACGACCACTCCAACGTTTTGTATTGACTCAAGTCGCGACTAACATGGTGGGTGGTTTCACAGCATTTAATCATACAATTAATTTAGATTTGTTTTTATATAGCGTTACAATTATACACGCTCCTAAAAGTTATGAAAAACAAATGTTACATATCACCCAAGTATCAGAGTTGACAGACCCCATTTGAATACTTATTATGATTAAGTTAGCTTTAATAAAGCAAGATGAAGTTTGTTCCTAGATACACTCATATTTTGCAGTATCGGGTCGGTTTAGTAAGTTTATAGTTAACAGATCCAAATCGACCGGATAGTTTGTCACACATCACGTTTGCGGAAGTTTAGCGTGTGACGTCACTAAATAAATGACTCAATTTACAGGTAGTCCAATATCGTCTGTGACGGGGACAGTGACACGGGTTTCGTCAGTGGTGGGTGGGGAAGCTGAACTGCCGTGTGACTCCCGACCGCCCCAACGCAATGACAGTCTATTGCTCGTCGTCTGGTACCGAGATGACAATCCTGTCTACAGGTATTATATTTATATAGTGTCAATGTCTTTATATTTTCTTTGTCGACGTATTTTGGCTTTGGATATTCGGAAATCTACAGACTGAAATCGAAACGCGATTAAGCTTATCAGCTCTTTTGTCTATGGATGGTGGTCGTGACCCGGATGGTTCGATATTCGTAGCACCCATTTTATATCCAGATTTCCAGACGAAGTCTAACAGTTAAGATGTTATTATAGTATGTGAAGTTGGACTGTGAATTATGCTAATATGAAAACCAACATCGCTTACCCTAAAACCGATGTTCAAGTACAGTACAGTTAATATATGTTAAAAATATCGCGTACGGTTTCAACTTTGCATTTATTACACCCCGTGGTCTAACATCAGAATGTACATGTGTTTTCGACGACAGATACGAAAACAAGGAAAAAGACCACATATTATGAACCCGGACAAAAAGGTCGCTTTGTAAATTGCCGTCCAAAACTCGCGGAGCGTAAAATTTCCGACTGTACCCTGTATGAAAATAATTTATTGCCTTTTTATGCGTGTTCTGTGTATTTTATTCGATGTTATGTTTGATAAACTTCACATTTGAAGTTGATTCGGAAAATAATTTTTCATTTTGATGACCCTTATAATTGTCGCCTTTGCGTTACATGCTTATATAATATTTGTTTAAGTAAAGGACGCAGGGTTAAAATGAATGGAGTTCTTCAAAAGGCATATTTATAACACTTATGCCTGACCAAACAATTTAACATATCTAATATAAATTTGCTAATAATAACGCGAGTAGTATATACATTTTAATAAAAAGCTTTAAACGGCTTAAAACGCGATGTATATTAAATTACTTATTTACAATACTGAGAAATGAGACAACACCGAGTGAGTCAATTCTGTGAGAACCCAGCTAGTTTCTCTAAATACCAACTAGGAGAAAAGAGATGGCGCTAGTGGATCAGAGTTTAGCTTTGACATTTGACATTCCCTCCATCTTCAGTCGCCTCGTGATCCAAGCTGCTGCAAAACATCCAAAACGTTTGCCCGTAGTTATAGTTATTTTCATTGTATAAAGTCAAGTAATACATTTCGCGTTTCAAACCGTTAATTTTTTTAAATATCATTAAATATGTAAGTAAGAAATCTTCTCGTTATTAAATCGTAGAAGAGAAGAAGAGTATTGTTACATAGCGTATGTAAACTGAATTCAAGTAATTCTAGTAGTTGTTGATTCATTACAGTCCGGGTAAAGGATACAAACTAAATTGTTTGCCGAGCGTATACGCCGGGTAATGTTCGTACGTGAAGCCTAATTACGTGAGTGACCGGCTCAGATCGTATTAATCTAATAGTCTACCTGCAAAGTAATCTATCTAAGCCTCCAATCGATATTGTTGCCCCTATTTGCATCGTCCCTGTCCTCTTGTGTCCACTTATACTTTATCGATATCAATAAATAACATATGTGAAAAAATGTTTATTGTTTGGAAGATTCTCATGTTGATACAACTGTAACAAATAATTGGTAATCATAAATTAGTCGAACCAAGTTTGATTACCGTGAAACCTAGTGGGCCTACAATTTGATTATATTATTATTGAGAAAGCCTCTTAACAGTTTCAGATTATACTAATTTAGTTAGTTCATATTTTGTAAAGAAAACGAGCGGATAAACCTAACACTAGTACGCAAAAAGAAATTACATGCAACGAAAGAATATATGTCCCGTAAATTAAACGAAAATGTTAAGTCACAGTGGAAAAAGTCCGACATACATTCCGAATATGCTGCAAAAGTTTTCGTGAAATGTCTTTAAGAAAAAATAACTTTAGCTCGACATTGAGATGAGCAGGCTATGAAATTGCCATATCTATACCGATATATAAAACTGAAATAATTATTGTATTAACACACTAATCTCGGAAACTTTTGGTTCGAATTGAAGGATTATTTTTATATTAGTTCATTTATCGAGGATGGTTTAAGGCTAATAAAACTTTGACTAATAGGAGCGAAGAAACAGCGGAAAATGTAAAAAGGAAAATTATGATGGTTTTCCCGATGCGTACGCTGCGAAAACCAAATAATGTGCATAAAAGAATGATTTTCTCTCTTAAGGTTCTTAAAGTCCCCGACGCTATATATCTATCCTTTAAAATTAACCTGCAAGAACGACGGGACACGATGTCGTGGGTAACAGCCTTATAAAGATGAAGACACCAAATTTGGATGCCTAACATAGCTATTATTCTTTAACGACTTCGTCCGCGTAAAAAATTCTTGCGGTCATTTTATTATAATAAATCAAAATGCACTCATTTTATCGTAAATTATAAAGAATTAATTCGATACAAAACAAGAGTAAAATAACTAATCACCTTATAGCTTTTAAGATATATAAAGAATATATTCTCAGTACCCAAGCTTTTGCTTCAACTTGTATTAACTTTTGATTCGTTAAAACGAACAGCACGGAGTAGCTTTCAATTGATTTTAGCCTGAGCACTAACTTCCAAGCCTGCAAGCTTATATAAGAAATGGTTTCAATGTGAAATAGAATTTCTTAGTCACAAACGTATACGGCAGGCAAACGAATATAATTATCAATACAATGTTTGAAAACTTCAATATTTTTCCCATGTTATTGTATATGATGGCACTATATAAATTAAAAATTTGGGCAGGACTTGATCCGGCATCAAGCGCGTTCTTTGTTGTTCTAACCAATTGAGCTACCGTCTCCTACGTGTCATCGTTGAATTTTTCATTTTTATACGTGGAACTATTGCCCATTTTTTTCAATTTATAGTCGATTTTAAATGTTTAATACAATTAATGTTTGAAATACTTTTACTTATTTGCTACCTAGGTTGTGCCTACACAGTGTAATGCATTTAATAATTATGTACTGTCGTACTATGTTCATCAAAAAGTTCAGCAGTTGCTAGGAAATTATAAACATACATGGTACAATTAAATAATTTTGACAGCTGCAGATTTCATGTCATCAAGCACAGACAATATAAACCAACGGTTTTAAACGCAATGTATATTTATTTCCATCTACGTAAAGGCACATGTTTGTGTTTCTAATACACATCGCATTTGAATCCGTTAAGTGTTTTAGTAAAAGCGCCAGAAAATGTTTTTACTACTACGCAAAAGTAAAAATACCATATATAGAGTAATTTAAATATTTTATTTAAAAATATAATCAAAAGTCATTCGTTCGTATCGCATTCCGGGGCGTAATAGGGCGCGCATAATGGAAACATTTCGTTTGCACAGTGTCTCTGCAATTTACAAGCGTTGCAATTTTAAAGAATACATTCAGAAACTTGTTTTGACAGATACGAAGCCGCATTCGCGTTTCATCGCTGTTTTATTTAAATTGCACAAGTTACGGCGTGCGACGGGAGTACGGGCTGTTGACAAACGCGTTTATTGTTCGTAAGGTTTATCGAGTTGGAAGGAAAATTTAAGCCGTTTCGATCTAACGGTTTCTAGCAATACCTTTGTAGTTAGCTAAATTTGGGAAAAAGTATAGCTTTTAGTTTTCGCGACTCGAGCACATTTACATAAAACACTTTTAGCGGTTTAAAACCCGAATTATATAAGTTACCTTATATTTAACTAATTTTAATAGTTTAACATTTCGAATGCTTTGCTGTAGGGCTTTCAAAATGTCGGATTATAGTTAAAATGAATAGAAGAAAAGTTAATTTGTTTATTCCACATATTATACTGTTAAAAGTGTTAAAGTAAAATTTCAATGCAGTCTTTTTTACATTTTACATTACATACTATATCTTTCCACTGGCTCAAAGGACATAAATGTTTCAAGTATGTTTAACTGTCATTATCTTAATGCCATACTGCTATTACCGTATCGCGTTAGTTAGAACAGCAGCACGGAAAGGGTGCGGGTTCAAATTCCGCACGTCAAATTTGTCATTCCAAGCTGATTTTTAATGTAATGTTTTTACTTTTTAAATTTTATTACTATTTAAAACTTTTCATTTTGTTAAAGATAACATTAATTTTTTGAAAGCGAAAACGTATTTGTCACATTGTTACCTAAGAGGTGCTTTACTCAAAATAAAAACAAAGCAGTAAGTGGACTGCAAATGCAGCTCGAATTTTGAGCACTTAAAGCTTTCCTTTGTGTCAATTTAGAAAGAAGCACTTTTAACCGTATGGTGAAACACAACTCAAAAGTATATTTTAATAAAAAAACACGGCTGCAACTTTAACGATTACATTTCGCGTTCAAATTGAACAGCCAAAACATTTAATTTAAAAAGCAGAATCGACGTTTTTGATCGAAAATTGATGTAAACACGCTGCACGAACGCTACGAACCAATTTATTGACATTACAGACGATAAATATCTACGTTAAGCTCCGGTAAGGGAGTTCGTTACTATCCTTCTCTATAAAAATATTATAAGATCACCGAAATGTAGCTTCTACTGTATTGTAAATGTCGCAATTCACAATTTCATAATTTACTTGTTATTGAAGGTTATATTGCTCGCTTGCTAAGTATTGTCTGTAGTTTATGCGAACAGTAAACAATAAAAAATACTTATAATTAATCAAATCAATCTTTTACGCATTAAAATAAAACACTTTAAATAGTTTTAAATGCGAAATTTAATAGTTAACTTTTTCACACTTCGTTTTAAGCAACATAAACGTCACGCCGTTAAAATAAACGTGACGCGGACATGTTTTTAGATGATTAAAAGAAAAATCGTTCTTTCATCCATATTTTAAATATCTTTAATAATTTTCCACCTTTGTCTCATATTTCCCGCTGCTATATTGGTCCTATTAGTAACAGCGTGATATTTTATAGCCGTTCTCGATACATTTTTTTTTTAATTTGAAAGAGTGCTTTCTGAGATTAACGCGTTCAAACAAACAAACTCTACAGCTTAAAAATATTAGTATAGATATTGTATATTGTAATTCACAGTACTATAATACTGATAACTAAAGTGATTC